CGTGCGTAGTCACCTCCTCGTGGTGAGACCTGGTAATTGATATCGTTTTACAGACATTAAAGTTTGTAAACCGTTATCAAACTAAATTATAAAAAGAACGTTAAACTTTAATGTTTGTAAAACGACATCAAGCTAAGAACTACGTAACCTACAGTTCAGTTTAGATCTAAACTGAACTGTAGGGACAATTAGTTGATAAGTAAAATATTAGACCCCCCAGCGGGGCACCGTGGGATGACGTGGATCTCGGAGGGACATCGTGAGATGCGTGCACCTTAGCTTTAAGTTACGTGCGTTTAGTTTTAGTTAATCTCTGTAAATTCATTGTGAACGCATTTTGTACAAAGACACGTTTATTGAACTTGGAACGAAATTAGGAATCCCTCATCTCCTTTCTTCTTTCGTTCGTTGTTGCTATTGTTACTTTGTTCGTTGCACTAGGGTCGAGTGTCGGGGAACTGCAGCCTCCTCCAAAAGGCGAAGTGAGATTCTTGTAGTCTAACGTCCTTGATAATCCGACTTTGCGGTTCTTCCGAAACCCCACTGTGTCGTTGGGGTAGCGCTAGACTACTTGTCTCTAAATGCTCGAACCTCGATTCGGCACACTAACTGCGAAACTTGGAATCTCACGTTTATTGAAAATTAACAACACTGTAATGGATTTGAAAAATTATATTTGTGGTGCATTCGCTACTTGATCAAGTTCGTTTTACTTGATGTAGTCAATTCACCGTTATTTCTAATGCATGTACCTCGTCTGTGAAACCGATATTGCAGAGGGTGTACGACGTAATTTGATCTTCTTTACGGTCGGTATTTCAGAATGCGAGGTAAGAAATTTCATCAATAACTGATTTATTCATTAAGAATTATTTACTAATGATTGTATGTCAAATCTATTCTGTTTCAATGATCCTATTTTTCTCTAATGTATTCAGATTCAAAACTGTGAAAACTACTTTATCGACAATGTGTTGATAATTTTGTAATTAGAATTTGTAACAAATTTTTAATACACGTTTTTTTAATGCATGTTGATTAAATTTCCTTTCATATTTATAAAACTTTGATGATCAAGGCGGTATTTATGGGTATAATATTCATCATGAATTACTTGACAGAGGAATGTAAATTTATATTTTGTTGATTGGAATTGGTTTTTTGACTGCTGTTTTTAGATTGTGCGTTAATTTTGTTCTTATAATTTTGCGTTACATGTATTATAACAAAATTATCTCGTTATTTCGCCCCATGTCATACATATACACACATATAGAATGTGGTGCACCATTATCCATGTATTTGTACTGTATTTACCCCAAAACGAGCTTAGAGACAGTTATGTATAATTAACATGAAGTTTCCTCCTGAAATCATGATGTATGTGCACCGATGGATTTACTAAATTAACTAGTTAAACATAATAAATCTATGTTTCATTTCAATATATTCCATGTAATTTAAGCAATTAAACTGTAGTATTCTTTGAATCTTCAGCAGAAAGTAATTCATCAAGAACAAAGTAAATATGAAAAATTTTTTAAAAATTAATATCTGTACATAGATCTCATGACGAAAGAGATTACCTTAGAGAGAAATAGATTATCAACACATTAAAATTTTTCTATGTTACAAATAGTGGAATGACTTTTAAGAAACTTCTTTTACTTTTTGAAAGAATGAAAATATTTTTATGTGTAGGCAAATTACTTTTATTGTATAGTG